GGGATAGTGGCAAGGTGTGTATGGGGGGAAGGGGAAGAAGGTGTCGGTTGAGTACGTAGAATTATTTTTGTGGCCATATCATTGGAAAAAAATTGCGTATCCAAAATGTTTGGTCTATATCAGAAAGAGATGCCGCTTGCCAAAATATACCTCATTGAAAAACTGAGCATACTATAACTTGATGGGAAAAATCGGAAAGTCCGCGTAATATGTTCAAATGCCGATCGATTGAACTGGAAATCTTATGGGCTTCTATTCCAGGAGCGGAACGTGGCGAAGGAAAAGATTTGACTGAAACTGCTGGCATGAATAAAAAGTTTGGCATCTTGGCTTAGGGGAGATGAAACTACCGGCATTTTCGCATTCTTGCCTCCTCCTTCAGCAGGCAAGAAAAGGAGCCCAGATGGGTTCGTTTTTTGAACAAACACTTGAAAATAAACAACTTATGCTCGCCAAGATAAGTGTGCACACGTGCGTGTCTTGGTTTGCTTACTTCACCGGCAGAAAACTAAATTCATGGTGAGTTTTGTGGTTATCGATTAAACATCGCTTGACCAATATCAATCGATATGATCAATTGCCTAATACTTATCGATCGATATAGTCAGGAAATCGACAGAGTTTCGGATGATCGATTTTAATATATATTAAGAGCTTTTGTAATTTTTTTTTAAATATGCACAATAATTGTCGGTTGATCTACACCACTTTAAAACCCCAATTTTGATTCGTTCTTGCCAATCGGCACTTCTTTTGCTCTTAACGCTAGCGGCATTGTATTGTTTATCCGTTGTTTAGTTTGGCCAGTTATCAAGAACCTTTATACGATCCAGGTTACGCCAAAATTATTGTTATGGGAAACGTTTATTGTTGTGTAATTTAGTCTAAATATGTCATGTATGACCTTTTGCTATTAAGAAATCGATGTTAAAAAAATTTCAGTGGAACAGATAAAACCATGACAGTTAAGTTTAACCTTAAGCAGCTTTCTCTTTTGACATTCCAAATACATTTCTGACTTGATTTAATCAGTTTTCAAAAAGATATTCCACCATAAATAGAATTGTTTTAGCCGTAGTAAGTAGAGTCCCCTCTGCTAACTATGTTTCGGCTGAAATCCTTAAACGATTCAAAACTGCATATAGAACGCTCTTGATTTGTGGCAAAATAACATCCCGCATTATTGCTTGGAGTGCATATTTTTCGTTCAGCACTGCCGCGTAAAAATACTTTTAAACAGGTATTTTGAAAGGAAACCTTTCTAATAATAATTATAATAATAACGTCATTTCAGTGTCGATGTCTTTAGGTTAACGTAGCTAATCGAGGACACTATAAATTATGATTAATTATGTCAGAATCATGGAAAAAAGTATTAAGTACAAAATGTATCTAATCTAAAAATGTGTAATATGCAAAGCTAGAATATACTTCCCAAAATATCTATCTAGTCTAGCTACTCTATTTAATCTAAGACTAAATACAGATTAAAATCTAATTAAAATCAATTTTTAAAATATATCATGAAAAAATACTCAAATCTCACAGCATTAAAACGGGTCATGAGCTGCAGAGGCTGTAACAGTTAGAGCAGAGGCCCTGTTCTAAATTAATGATGCCCTTGAATGCATGTTAAGGCTAGACGCTGTTCTAAGACTTATGCTAAGTTTTTCCCAGATAGAGGGCCGTAAATGCCTTAAAGAGTGCCTGCCGTAAAATACAGTTTCAAACCTAGTTATATTGAAGTCACTTTTTCTGAGCGAGTCATGCTGACTTTAAAGCTAACATGTACAAGACACTACTGGGTGTAAGACCATGACTGACCCTTCTACGTCAGCACAGCAATGCCCTGTAAGCGTCGCCGGTAGTTCAGCACGTTTGTAGAGGTCCTGATATAACTCTGATTTTGAATTGTATGGCTCTACTGATGATTTGTGACTGATTTTGATTCTGGATTCCTTTTTGAGCAAGACATATGTCGCGTATAGTACCTGATATGGATTTTAATTAGGCGTACACAGGTGTCAAAGACCACGCCGACCATTTTGGCGTTGATTGGTTACTGCTGAACGGTGAGAGCTAATATCTTCCTTGATGTGCTGCCATCGGGTAAGCCTACTTTTTCTGTTTTATCTAAATTGAAATAAATAACTTAGTTTACGGAGATCCACTGCCATCAAAGTAATAATTTAACTCTTTTTTTGTCATTCTGTTATAGAAAATTCCAGGCGATTAGGGAAGGACTTGAAGCCGTGTCAAACAATTTAGAGATCTTTTTCGTATGAGTGAGCGCAAGAGTAGGTAAGAATATTTCCGATGCCTTCTAATAGAGTCAACATTTTCTCGGGAACCTGTCCATCGACAAATCTGTAGTACAAGTTGAAATACCTCGTTGCCCACTTTGTCACCCTTCATGCAAGTTGCAACCTGCGTGAATATACGAGTTTTCGGTCCGCAAAGTAACATTTTCGGGCGACAATGTGCAGGACCAGTGCTGTGATACAGGCATTACCTTTAAGCACCTCAACGTACTGTAATTTGCATTACTGTTCGCAGCTTATATCATTTCCATTGAGAAGTTTTCTTGCACAGACAGACGTGAACTATTTTCTGTTAAATTATTTACTGACATTGTCAACAACGAACAACACAAACTGGCCAAACTACTACCTCCGCTGGCCAGTTCTCACACTCAGCGTCTGAGAAACAGGGTAATTTTTAATATCTCACTATGTCGGACTGATCGCTTTAGAAATTCTCCTATTATTAGCCATGCTTTGTAAATAGTTTTTAAATTAATTTGCAACTAGTTTGTAAATTAGTCTTGATATAGTCCATTTGCATAATTTTCCATTGTAATTTAGTAGTAGCATTAGAATTCCAAACATAGCTCACTCGCATGACTGGGCAGCGTCAACGAGGCTCTGGTGAAGGTACGACGGCCAAACGCCTCCTGCCAGATCGATTGGTTACGGAATCTGAAGCCTTAGCAAATTCGCTGGATGCCCACTAGGGGCTGAAGGAAAACAGACAATCCTCACCCATTAACCCTGACTTGCAAATTCAGTATGAATTATGAATATAAAATCTGGGTCTTCCATTATTTTAGAAAAGATGTGTGACATCTAAAACTACCGTAAATTTCAAATAAGCATGTATCTGATGTTAATCATTCAAAATGGATCGTTAAAAGAAGAACAATCGTTCTAGAATTAAGCAAGATTTGTCTTCTGTTGATTAGGGAGGAAGTTTCCGTGTGTCCATTTGTTTGTGATGCATTTGATAGCGCGTTGAGGCGAGGGATGAAGCTAGTGAGTTAGCGCGTGCACGCCAGATTCAGAAGAAGGAAAAAAGGAGTTCAAGGTTGGATGACTACTACTAATGGCTCATTTACTTTATGAACACATCATTGTCTTATGTACTGGCTGATTTAAGTTGAACAGTTGGAATGTCGTAGATGTTTTGATTTAAATTCTTTCTTTGAGTTGAGTTTGATCGTCTTAATTTGTTCGTGGGATGTATGTACAAGCATGTGGATCGCGTACAAGATCATAAGGATCTCATATTGATCAGTGATTAATAGAGTGAAATGAGAGTTGAGACGATCATGCACAGTAGGCGTAGCTGAGCGGATTCAAAGAGTACTTTGAAAATGCTGTGATGCAATTTAGCATCGATAAAGAGACAGACGCATAAATTTGTTTTTCACAATAACGGAAGATCAAAACGATCAACTGTGGACTTCTGAAAGAACTAGTCACCTAAATATCTTTTTCGCCATAATGATTCCGAAACTCACGAAAATTTCAACATTGCCAGTATATTCAACATAAAGCAAATAAGCCATTGGTAACCAGTCAACCACGATCTAATCTCATTTCATCTTCTTCTGAATCTGACATATACATACTAATTTACTAGCCTCATGCCATGCCGCACTCACTAACAAACTAATTGACACACGGACACTTACTCTCGCATCAATGAAAAACAAATCCCGCCTAATTTTAGAAAAAAAGGTTTTACAGAACAGGGTAAAAGGGGGTTCCAAATTCATGAATAGTGAATTCAAAAATTTGAAATTCTTAATATTCTTATTAGGACTTAGTCTGTTATTATATTGCTGAAGCTCAGCCAGCGGCCAAAACGGGCCAAATCCTGCACTCTGATTGTGGCTAACCGACAGGCTGAGCCGTTACAAAGTGCATACCTACAGGTTATCCATCCTTCTGTCCCAGTTACGCGAACGTTTGCTGATTTCCATTGACCAGTGTATAACCGTGAACGCAAAGGCCAAACGGTATTCAACGGTGGGAATTAAAATTCCATAACAGGAAGGAATTAACTAGGGTTGGGTTTACTGATCACTTTATTGAGTCCATGTAAACATTTTGCTAGGTATTTCGTGTACGAAAGCTACATCGTATTACTCTTCACAAAAAGTCTCATACATTTCTTATCTACTGCCATGTAAACTGTGCCTCTTTCACAGAATCACTGCATTCCGAATTACTCAACACTGATTCAGTTTCTTGCAACATGACTGTTCGGAAGACATTATTTAAGAATAAACGCTTGACCATTGTGTGCATTAGACATTGTTTACGTTTCGGGAGACTACTAAATTCCTGAGACATTTCATGAGAATTTTGTATTTAGCATAATTATTCCACGACTCGTGTGATCGAGCGAACAATGTCAGTTCTATTCAAGTTGTGTTCGATTCGTAAGCTATTATTCGAGCTGTGTGTTGAAATAAGAGCAATGACCTCAGGCTACCTGTTGTCGAAATGATTCGGTCGCGTTCATATCAAGTGATTATGTGACGACGATTTACCATTCGCATCTCTAGCATCCCCCAGTCTTGCATCAATTGCTTCTCCAATGTATATGATTTGTATCTCTAGCCATACTGGTTGACTTGTTCACTGTGCTTAATTAGATTGTGATTTAATTTTTAGATTGTTTTTAGATCAACTAAAATGCCGTCTTCATAAAGAGACCCCAGTTAATAGGTTCTTTTGTTTTCTGTGAATCGATGGAACGCACCAAACTCGTGGTATATTAACCGTTACCTTGGTTATCTACTGCAAACTAAAATAAACATTGATTATGCTTTTAAGAAACAATGTATCTTCCAGAGACTTAACGGGATGCAATATTTTCATATAGGCGAGCTCACGGGCTTAAGTTAATCAGGTTTTGTTAGTCAACGCAGATTTACACTGTTTGATGTTTCACAAATATGACCTTATTACATTTTGGTGACTTTCAGCAATAAAATAATGTATGTATGGTCCAAGGCTTCATTTTCGTAATTTCTCATGTAACTCGAACGCAGATATATAGAGTATGCTTCCAAGTAACTGTTATACTTATAGCCGGCTATTGTTATAGCCGTCAAAGTTGTAGGTTTTTTCCGGCGATGAAATAACACCAGAAGTATTTGTTTCAGAATGCTGTAACTGTAAGTTGATCACAACGGGAAGCTGTTCCGAATTGCTCGTTAAAACCAACTCTTGGAGAGCAGAAATTCCGGAATAGCTCATGCAAACGAGCTAGAAATGTAGTGTTTCCAGTGCTGAACAGACGAGCGCCGCCATTGATAGGTACTGCCACTGCTCAAGGTGTTTACTAGTCAGCAGGCTATCAGCACTTGAGCCATTCAAGTACAACATAGGATACTATGGAAAACATCAAATCCCATTCCTGTCTGTCTAAGGAATGCTTAGTTAACGTGTGTATCGTGCACGTACTTGTGACCGAATAACGGGGGTTCTGTCCTGACACATTTTTAGCCGCATTCACCAGCTGCCTACGCAATGCGCAACGCCAAGAGGACTTTTTCTTTGATTCTTTTCTCGCTGAAGGCTTTCATCCTTAGCCACAAACGTCCAAAACTAAACAAATAGATACTAAATGTTTCCACTTACCATACGACAGTAGAAATCCTTGAAGGATCATGAGTGTCATGATGAAATAAAACTTTGCCATTGTCGCTACTCTGTTGTCGTTTTAAATATACCTTCCAAACGATTTCAGTCAAGACACTGTTGACCTGGACAAAGCCAGAAACTAGAATTTAAGACTGATTATGAGTTTTTGTGGGGAAAATTGAGCGGGAAAATTTATCGGTTTCACTAACAACCACATCCAGATGCGTCTCTACGTCATGAAATAGTTGATTCGCCCTTCAATTTTCTCGACCATGCCCAAATGGCCAGAGCAGCTACTCCTAAACTGTGTTACATCCCTGAGGCTACACTTAATTTCTTTTTACCGCATCGCCCGCATCGCCCACGTGGCTTAAAAGTTTAAGTTAATTGCTGCCGGAAACAAAGTCCTGGAAGGTATTTTAAAAAAACTCCTGCAAACTATGTATCAGTAGAAAGCTTAATAAATGTTGTTTACGATAATAGTATTCAGGCCCAGAAGCCGTAAACCATTGAACGATCGAGGGTTCTTCTGTTGAAATTATCGGATAACGAATGCAGCACGAGCCAAATGGCGACACATTCATATTCAACAGGCATCATTGAACAAACGTGTGACAGGCTATGTCGATTGGTTGTTAAGATATCCGCATCCAAAGTTGGAGTAGCTAACGTGTCGAGACGTGTTGTGTGAATAAGAAAATATTTTAAACATCAAAACTTCCTGGCACCCTTTTCTTTATCATTATGCCTAGAATGATTAAGAAAAATTTCAGAAAACGATCCGTCAAATATAAATTTGCCATACCATATAAATTTGCTGTAAATTGTTTTCAAAATAAAATTAGAGACTTAAGCCCATTAAGGTTCAGAAACAACTAGCGTCATACCGGCCGCGAGATTATCTGACCCCATGAGATAATTCTCTCACCCCTATACCGCTCCAGTTCTTCTATTCTTCAATTCCATTAACACTTCCAGGAAGGGCTTTTTTCCCTTTTCTGCACAGAAATAAATAATTTGTTTTTTTCTTTGGGCCTGCTTGGTTTTTTTTTTTTGTTTTCGTTCAAGGACTTAATTCTTTTGTGGAATTTTTCTTTTGAGAGCAGGTACGAGGTAGCACAAAGAACTTCGAAGTACGAATTTTATGAAATACGCGATATGCAAAAAAACATGAGGTGTGAGCTTCAAGATGAATTGGCCCAGGAGTTTGGGAATTAATCTTAAACTGCCGGGAATTTAAAAAAATTCCAAATCTCAAAAGCGAGCATGTTCAAATACAGTTTCATGGTTCCAGTTGAAGTCTCTTGGTTCAATAGATAGAAGAACGAGTACGAGATTGAGTACGAGTATGTCGACTACATTTCAAATCTAGTGCTAATACTCCTACAGGGTAACCAATCCTCTGCCGATAGTCTCCTGTTCATCTGCTTAGAGAGCATTTAGGACTCTGGAACGTAACTGGACTAGATTTCAAAAGTCTTGCTAGTTTAGTTTTGCTATCAGAAGGTTCCTGACACGAGCCTGAGGCAACGTTCTGGTTGACTGCTGCAATTGACGTTTAATT